TGCAATCCTTCTTTCCCTTCTCGTGAAATGATTAATACCCCAGATATTGTATGCAGTGCTCGACGAAAGCCATACAACATTTACATACAATACTGAAAGCAGATTGTAAAGATGACTGTCTAAATTGTTCTTTAATTTAGGAAGGCAATAAATATTTTTTATCATATTAAAGATATCTAAAAATGTTAAAGAACTCAGGTTTACCATGAAAAAAAATCTAGTTTCAGAAGTTTACCATCTTCTTCGATTCATTTTGATTTACAAAAAAGCTGATTAACTAAAACATTAGAGTACATATACATGTGCATGTATATAATAAGAATTTTGAGGCGACGAAAAGCGCGAGAACAATAACATAATTATGATTTGTTACGGTTGTATCTATTTTTAGCTTCCTATAAAAAATGATCTTCCACGGGAATTGGTAAACGAAGAAATTTGTTAATTTGTATTTTAAAAACGTTATTGTAAGATTTAAAAACATGAGTTACGGTACCATTCCGACTTCACCTGATGAAAGCTCGACTAACTCGAGCATTACGATAACCCTTCAACCAAATGACAAGGAGAAAACTGATAAATCAAAATTACGAGAAACTCTTGCAGAATTCCTAGAATCAAGAAAAGCCCACTGGCTCATCCTTCTTTTGGTTGCAGCAGATTTTCTCACCGTAATGACCGTAATTATTATCTCACTCTACGATCCGAAGAAAGAAGATTCACCACTTGTTGAACAATTATTAGACCTCGCGTTCGTAATCAATTCGATATTTGTGATTGAAGTGATTTTGAAGTTGATCGTGTTTGGATTCTCGTATTTCTGCAAAGGAGAATTTGGATTGTTACATGGATTTGACGCGTTTATCGTGGTTGCCACTTTTGTGCTTGAAGTGTTTCTTAAAGGAAAAGAAGCAGAACTTGTGGAGTTGTTGTTGTTGTTTAGATTATGGAGAGTAATTAAAGTGGTGGGTGCTGTGGCAATTGGAGTAGCGGAGTATGATGAAGCACATGATTCCATTAGGGAGGATAAAATGAAAAAATTGAGAGCGACGTTGCGTAACGTTTTGGGTGAAGTTAATACCATTGCCGTCGAGGATCAATGGACTAAAGAAAAGAAAGCAAGAGTATTCGATTTGGTTGATGACACTTTATTCGAGGACTAATCAATATTTAAATTATTTGTTAGTATAGGTTTTATTAATTGTTCATTAAAATTCACTACACTCATTGTATATATATTATATATATATATATATATCGTATAAATAAATTATATGATGCTATGTCAAAGAAATTATAATATTGTAAGTGTGAATGAGTGGGAGTTATAACAAGGAAATTTATTTAATTTTGGTTTGGAGCCAAAGCAATCACGTTGAATCGACCTTCATTTGGATTCTGATCTATAAATTTCTTAATAGCTCGTGCAGAATCCGATAATAAATCCGAAGAAGGACCATGATTAATTGGATAAGGTCTTCTACCATCCAACTCATACAAAAATCCATCTTTCTGAACGAAGGCAGTAAAGTGTAAATCAGTATCCTCCTGAACTCTACTCTGACCATGTTCAGAGAATTCTCGATGCGCATGTTCTAATTCCTCGTTTTCCTCAAGTACTTTGGCGCGTTCTTCCGGTGTCAATTCACGAGTTTTCTCAATCAATCGCTTGAGTGGCCCATCTTTGATATTAATCGCGTGTGTATTATTTGCCAATGAATGCAATAATCCTATAGTTCCACACGCGTTTGGTATCGTTTGCTTATAGAAAATTAAGTCTTTTGATACCTTTTGAGTGTCAGTTGTTTCTTGTGCTGCGTCTTGTTCTGCCGTGATTGGAAACAAGAGAAGAACAGCGACCACAGGTTGTGGGATCATTTGCAAAAGCTCTGGATCTAACCCCCAGACATCAGTATATGCCCAGTCAGTAGAAACACCTAAGTTATGAACATATTTGTTCATAATTTCGGGATTTGATTCCAGAGGAAGCCATTTGGCTTTTTTGGAGTTGTGTTGCTGCGCTTCTGACATTTCTTATTTACTTACGAATTTATTTCTAGGAACGGCATAACACTATATAACCTTTAATATAGAATGTTCGAGAGACAATGAACGATGCTGATGTAATTAAAAATGACGATAAAAGCTTAGCGTAAGCATAATACCGTAATTTATAATCCATCCAATGGAGATTCACCGATTGATTATAAATCGGGCCAATTAGAAACAGAAAAATTATATAAGACACACGTTATCTACTTAACTTTTTTTCGTTGTTTTCTAAAAAATGTCTGATCAGGTAAATTATTCAAAAGGGATTCTATATGATTAACATGACTAATTGATTGATTGATTGATTGATTAAAGGAATATCATGAAACTTATTATATCGAGCAAGATGAAATCGCTGAGGAACAATTGCTTCAAGAACATAATATTGTTGATGATGTTGATGTAGATGATCATGATGATGGTATTTTGTTTTTTTTCTTCCGATTAAATATATTACGGGAATTAATTAATTAAATTTATTATATAGAAGATGCGGTTGATCAGGAAGAAGATCATCAAAATATCGAATTAAAAAATGATTCAGTACAAGGATTTTTCTCGCATCATGGTTAATTAATTATTGATTACTATATTTTTTTATAATTATTTTTGAACTTGATATGTATATTAATACATACACATCATAAATATAGAACCAGTATACAGCATCGATATAAATCCAATTGATGAGAATATAATAATTTCGGGTGGTGGAGACGACAAGAGTTATTTGTGGAGAGTTGATACAGGAAAACAGTTATTCGAATTATCAGGTGTATATTTAATAAATTATTAATAATCAATGTAATCTAATAAAAGTTCACTAATAATATTTTTGATCAATAATAGGACACACGGATTCTGTAACATCAGTGATATTTAGTACCGATGGTCAATACGTGGCTAGTGGTGGTATGGATGGGAAAGTACTTGTTTGGAAAGTAGGAACTGGTGAACTTGTCATCTCTTTGGAAGGGCCTGATGAAATTATGGTGAGTTTTCATTATAGTTTAGAATTTCACGATTTTATGTTTATTATATAATCTAAACATTTCATAATTAATAATAAAAAGTGGTTGAGTTGGCATCCTAAAGGCAACATACTTCTTGCTGGTGCCAATGATTCAACGATATGGATGTGGCAAAGTAACTACTTTCATTGTTGTAATTTATATATATAATAATTAGCTAACAATTGATTATTTTCTAATAGTTCCAAAAGGAAACGTAATGAATGTTTTTGCAGGTCACTCATCACCAGTAACAGCCGGCCAATTCACACCGGACGGCAAAAAAATTGTGTCTGGGTCTGATGATTCGACACTCATTGTATGGGATCCGAAATCTGCTACTGCTACATCAAGAATATCAGGTGTGCATGAGTGTTCATGATTATACTCAAATTTATATCTTACATAATTTTTATGATCTTTCAAGGTGAAGATGCTCGGTTTCATAACGAAGGTATCACTTCATTAGCAGTAAACAAAGATAGTTCGTTAGTAATTACTGGGTCCACCGATAAATCCGCTAAATTATTGAATATTCTTAATGGGAATGTGAGCCATTTGCCTTTAATTATGTCACCTCCGGGTGAAATTTCAATCATATATGCGGCATATGCCATTGTATAAATATAAATATTAATTTACATATCTATAGATTCTTGGTTCGTTTGAGAACCATACAGATTCAGTGGAAGCCGTAGGATTTTCCAACAGGTAAATACATTCTATATAGATGTACTAAATTAACACACCCAATAAATAATAATTCCCTCAATAACAACAACCACCTAGTCTCCCACTAGCAGCCACTGGATCACTCGACAACTCATTAAACATCTGGGATCTAAATACCTTCCGCCTCCGACAAACAAGTCATCACGAAGACGCGATTACAAAATTGAAGTGGCACGATGCGTCTTCGTCGTCTCCTCATCTTATCACTACTAGTTCCGTGGATCATACTGTTCGCGTTTGGGATGCGAGAACTGGCGATTGTGTACGTGTTTTTAGCGGACATCAGGATTCGGTGTTGGATGTGGGAGTATCAAGGTAGGTTTGTGCTTGTTCGTGTACTGCTGCTTGAATTAATCTCTCACTTTATTGTTGTTGTTATTATTAGGGATGGAAGAACTATTGTTTCGGGTGGTGACGATGGAGCGTGTCTACTATTTAAATTGTAATAGAAAAAATAAAATTAAAACATTGATTATTTAATTAGAATAATTAGAATAATATTTAATTTCACATTACCCTTCCTTAACGACTATATACGACAATCTGTTACCTCCTTTCATTAACGACTAATTGGTTTTAAATAACCGTGCGTAATTGGTGGTTGCAAATCCGAATGCGAAGCTTTAACTTGTCCAGCAGTCATTTGAATACATCCACTATCAGTCAAAATTGAACCACAACGACTCTCCATCACTCTAGCGCTAGTCATTAAATCTTTAGGAGGCATTAAAGAGCTACCCAAGTCCAATCCATCCATAAATTCCTCGGAATATCTATTGCTAATTTCACTATATGTTTGAAAGAGTTCTGTTTCTTGTGTCGCAAGTTTTTTTTGTGCCGATTTTTTGAGCGTCTTTGC